CTAAAATTAGGACTATCTACCTGTTTAAATATCACAATAATATTATATATTTATTAATCAATGCACGCAGCCCATCCGTCGGGCAATTCACAACAACTCAACCCGTCCGCCATAACCTTATTTTTCAATCATTAGATCAATCAATTTAGATAGCCCATCAACTTCAAGCTACATATATCATCCATCACACTTACATATATACACTTAATAATTTCAACTAATTAACCTCCAAGCGTGATTCAATAATAGTCAATAATAGTGTAAGTGTCCGCTATAACTGATTTACCTTTTAAATTTATAAACTTCTCCTAACAATATTTGATTAAAATTCCTAAGATAACTTACATAAATTATTAGTGTTAGGAAATTCTTTATCTCAATATCAAGACTTCCACTAAAATTATAATTATAGCTCATGTAATTTATTTGGCAATGTTTCTTAACTAATTTGCAAATTACGTTAATTCTACAAATCCTAAACCAGTTTAACTTAAATCATATTCCGCTAATCCGGCAATTACCATGTGCACACATAACCCAATCTAATATTAATTTACAAAAGACTAAATAAGTTTCCATATTATTTATTAAGGTATTTCAATAACCCTAATTTCTTATTAATTTTCGTCAAACTTGAGTTTTATTTTAATTACTCCGCAATGTAAATTTCAGTTTAAATCAATTATTGTTTTTATATATAAAAATTGAGAATTGAGTACTTAGAAGACGTAAGCCCAATTGAGAAGGTCGGGCCGACGATTCCATGATCAACGTCAGAGAGAAGAGACCTTTTGTCTCTCGAAGGCCTCTTGCCGGAGTCATCGCCGGCCGGTCCTCGGGACCCCGCCGTAACGCGCCGTGCACGGTGGTAGAAAGTCGGCGAATGCGCCAGAAAATTGCAAGGTTACCAACCAACCACACTTCCAATTTTTGTGAAGAGTTCCAAATTTAACTATTAGTTTACCACCACCCGACTCCAATTTTTGTGAGGAGTCCAAATCTACTATTAGTTTGTTGAGCCAGTGGCTCGTTTGGCCGAATCGACCTCCACAGTCACCTTCAAGCCGCCGTCCATGGTGGCTCATCAAAACGCAAGCAAAAGCACAAATTGATGAAGGGGAAATGTTCATAGGGAGGAGAGGAGTCGATCGAGACCTTCGGTTCACCTTGAGCCCGTCGAAAATGGCGAGAAGTCGCCGGAGATCGAAGAGCGTGACTATCGGAGGAGATGGCCTCAATTCGCGCCGCTGTAGGTCCGATCGGAGCTAGGGGAGGTTGGAAACGTGTCCAGCTTCGCCAAAGGAACCGATCGCCAACTTCTTCTTGCTGAACGGTGGCCGGGAACTTAAAGGAGAGGGAGGAGGAGGAGGGGGGGTTGTCGCGTGCTGGAGAGGGAAGAAGAAGAAGAAAAGAAAAGAAAGAAAGTACGTCGGTTTCTAGATCATTCCGGTTCGATTCGAACCGATTTGGTCTGATTCAACGATTTGGCTCAATTCTTGCTCGGTTTGCAGGTTTTTCACTTTTTTTTCATCTGGTTTTTGTCAGAATAATTCCGGTTGTGGTTTCTCGAAAAATCGATTTGATCCCGCGGTTTCAATTCGATTTAATTGTAATTATTTTTTTAGTTAGGTTAGAAAACATTCCATCCATTTAACTCAATAATAATAAAATAGTAATAGTAAATGATAATTGATTTTAGAATCAATTAATTTATATATATATTTTTTAATAGATTATCGTTGGTGTTTATAATTATTTCTTAAAAATTTTAAACTTGTTCTCAAATCGACAAATTTCCGCATAATCTTTTTTGCCGCTTGGCTAAATTCGAAAATTGGCTCGAATTGAGATTTTTTAATTATAGGTTAGAAAACATTTCCTCCATTTACTCAATAATAATAAAAATAGTAATAGTAATGATATTTGATTTTAGAATAATTAATTTATATATATATTTTTTAATAGATTAATCGTTGGTGTTTTATATTATTTCTTAAAAATTTTAACTGTTCTCAAATCGAAAATTTCCGCATAATCTTTTTTGCGCTTGGGCCTAATTCGAAAATTTGGGCTCGAATTGAGATTTTATTATACTTGCAGCCCACACGATCAAAATTTATGATTTTTTATTTAATAAAAAATTCAAAGGTTTCGAAAATAAAAATTCGGAATGTTTAAAAAATAAACTGAAACAACTAAATTAATCAAAATTTCAGAAAAATATATATTTAAATAAAATACTACACATTAAAACAATATACGAAAACATACAATTTGATTTAATTCAGTTATTTCAACTTTTCATTTATGAAAATCGAACCTGATTGAAAAAGTGAAAATATAATAAAACTCAAACTTAAGCCACATGAAATTGTTAAAAAAAAAAAATCTTATCCCCTCTTCCTTTATCTAAGAAAAAAAATTATTAAAATCAAACTAAAATAACCAAAATAAAAATTATTCGATTAACTAAACTGAATTCTCACCTCTAATACCATGTCATTGCGAATTAAGCAACTAGTTAGCACAATATGAAAGCAACTTGTTACCTTTTCAATGGACTAGATTTTAACTAGAATATGTTTATTGCCGAATCACTTTTTCGATCGTGTAAAATCACTTTATTTTAATCTTCGTGCCTTATAAATCACGGTATTGAAACTTAAATATATTAACACTTCAAATTATTATTATGGTTTAGAAAGAAAAAAATATTATGGGTCCATAAGCTAAACTTGGGCACCCCAGTCGAAGACCCCACCGCCGTGTGCGCCAATAAGACCACCAAAGCCTTGGCCTTGTTGCGAGAGAGAGAAACGAGCCGATCACAAGTAAAGTTAACCCACTACTATTGAACTCCTCGTTTTAAAACCACAGTCTCTCTCTCTCTCTCTCTCTCTCTCTTACCTCAACATCTCCCAGTTTCTCTCAACATTCTTTAAATGCGACCTCACCATACTGATGTTGAATCCTAAGGTTTCTTTACATTAAAAAATAGCATTTGTCGAGATCGAGTGTCGGTACTTCCCTTCCGACCTCGCCTTGGCCACAACCGACCAAGCCGCATGGAGCCTTTATTGCCAGCGGCATCCTTGAATTGAACATTCGTTAGTCGTGATCGTAGAGATATGATTTCTTTATCAGGAGAAAATTTTAAAGAAATGGAGATAAGAATTTGATGTACCAATAGTGGGAGCAAGATCCTCTACAAAATTGAAAATAAAACAAATGCTTTTATCAATTCCTGGATCACCCATTGACAAGATCTTTAATGAGAGATAAAAGACACTACCTTGCTGAGAAGATGATCCCACTACATTCAATACCCAACAAAAAGAAATCTAAAAAGAAAATGAGATAGAAAAACACAGCAAGAAGTTCTCTTTTTGAGATACTAATATGTAGGATATAAAAGTTAAAATGAACAAGTTGAAAAGTTAAAATAAAGTGATTTTACAACAAGTTGTAAAGTTAGGAGTATTTATTTAGGTTTGGCCAGCTAAAATCAATTCGCAACTTTATATTAATTTGATACCTGTTGTCAAAAAAATGAGGAATAGAATTGAAAAACCTAAAAATTTTAAGATTTAAGAAAAAGGCAAGGGTGTGTTTATTTATAAAAAAACAATTTTCTGTCTTATATTTAACATTTTCTGAGTAAACATTTTTCTTAGAAAATAAAAATTAGAAAACAGAATATGAAAAATGCATCCATTTTTAATAATAAAAAATATATTTTAATAATTTAAAAATATTATTCATAATTTTCATAATAAAAAAATAAAATTATACAAAATATTATTGATTTATTTATAATAATCATATCAATTTTTATCATTTTGAAATTTTTTTAAAATAAATTATATAATTGTAAGTATATTTTATGCAATAATAAAATCAATTACACATTAATTATAATAAAAAATAAAAATATTTAACTAAGTTATTTAAATTTTTTTTAATATTTCAATAAAAATAATTTTTTTTTAAAATTATAGATTTTAATTTTAAAAGTCTTTTTTATAATAGAAAATAGTTATAAATAACTTCCTGGCATAGTTATAAACCTTTTATTATAAAAAAATATAGAGAATAACTTAAAGTTATTTTTCAAAATCTTAATTAAATTTTGAAAAGTAGAATTTTTTTTTTTTAATTCTCCAAATAGAAAACTGACAGATTTGATAATGAGAGTTTGATTTTCAAAACTACTCTATCAAAATTATAGTCAGAACGCTGATTAGGTGTGAACATTTGGTTTGAACTCAACTGAATTTTATCAAACTTAACATGTTTATCATATCATGGACCTTTTCAATGAACTACACTTTAACTAGAACATGTTTATTGCCGAACATAAACTCCATTAATGGCCTTAAATTAAAATTAACGTTAACTCAGTCTGTATAGGACCAGGTCACGTTGAGGCCTGAACTCTCCTAATTCAGTTCAATATACGCCTCTGGATGTTTTGAAAATTATGAGAACAGATGTTACTTCTGAATACCTTGACACTCTGTGAAAAACGCATGGATTTTAGCCTCACAGAAGATAAACCCATGCAAAGAAATTCATTTGCACAATCATAAAAAGAATTGTGTTACTATTGACCTTCCTATTTCTTAAGAATGTTTCCACTTCCAAGCTTCTATGCTTCATGAGCTATATCACTATATCTACATACTTTCACATTGTCTAAACTCTACAGAGGCATAATGGTATAATTCTGGCACAATGGGCTCACAGACCTGAACAAAAGCTTGCTATAAATTTAGATAGAAGAGCTACGATCTTAGACCAATATCTAGTTTGTTGTTGCACCCAGTCATCATTCAAATGTACTCAATTTTGGTTCCACAAGCCATACCAAAAAATTGTGCCACAAGCCATAGCAAAAAATTCTGCCACATGCCAATACCAGCACTGTTTCTTTACGTGGGATATTGGATACAACAGATGAGCAGAATGTAGTACCTGGAAACAAACTTCATTTGCTAAAATTTACGCAATAAAGAACCGTACAAGCATAATTCCTTCATTCAGCATATGCAATTCATAATTCAAGACTGTAATGTAAAGCAACCAATACAAGCAATGTAGGTTTTATACTATACAAAGAGAATAAAAGTGAAAGAATAAGCACAACAGACAACACATAACATAACCACTATATTTCTAATCATATAGAATCAGACCTTAGTTAAAGCTCAAAAGAAGACCTGATCTTTTAAAGCCTGATTAACAAGCTTAAAAGCAGAACAGTTCCGTGTTGTGATGGAGTTACTACTTTTTAGCCATTTTAGTCAATGCCTTTGCTTCCATTAGCCTCCACATATACCAAGACCCAACAGACCTGTAAGGCCTCCACTTCTCACAAACTTGCTCCATTTGCAATGGCTGTGGCAAATCTTTAAGCCCATACAAGCTCTGCATTCCTTTCCTCACACCAAGATCACCTACCGGCAAGACATCAGGCCTATGCAGCGAAAATATCATAAACATATGCACAGACCAAACCCCAATTCCCTTAACAGCAGTCAAGCTAGTTAAAAGTGTATCGTCATTCATTTCAAGAATAGATGAATCTGATAAAGACCCATTTCGAAATTTGTCTGCTAGGTCATGGAGATAGGTTGCTTTTCGACCAGAAATTCCAATTTCTCTTAGCTGATTAGCAGAGAGCGATAGTACGTTTTCCGGAACGACGCCGGATTCGCCTCCACAGAGAGTCAGAAAGCGTGTGTAGATTGATTTGGCAGCATTTGTAGCTAGTTGTTGATAAAGAATGCTTCTTGATAAAGATATAAATGGTGGGCTATGAGAATCGAATGTGGGTGGCTTATGGGTTTCAATTAGAGTCGCGATGAGAGGATCTGAATTGCGTAGATGTTCAAGAGCGAGGTCGATTTCGCCTTTGATAGATAACGGTTTAAGTATGGAAAGCGGAGATGAGATGGTACTAGCGGTTGTGGTTGTTGTTGTGGTGGTGGTTTTAGTGGTGGAAAGTTTTCGGATTTTTCGGGTTCGGAATGGGATTTTGGAAGAGGAAGAAGAGGGGGTTATGGAAATATTAGTTGCGGCGGCGGCAGATTGTGTAGTGGAGGAAGGTTTAGAAAGGGAACGAGAGAGGGATCGTGTTATGGGCTTACCCATTATGAGAATGCGACTGGTTGGGTTTTTTTTGTCGGAAATGGCGGCAGTTGCGGTGATTGTTATTCAGGTGAGGGTGAAAATGTCAAAATGATCATCCAATTGGGATGTTCGCTGACAGTTGATAGATGTATGCATCATGCATGACAAATTGCTCCTCTCACGAATCGTAACAATTTTTGTCAAATACATTAAATTTAGGTCAATTAGTGTGTTTGGAGCAAATGAATCCACCGAATCGTTGATAGCCGTAGAATATATTTGTAAATAAAATTTATATAAAGTTTATTTATAAATAAATTTTTTATACTTAATATGTTATAAATTAAAAGAAAAAATTCAATTGAATTATATAAAATTATATTTAAAATAAATTTTTAATAAAAATTTATTTATTTTTATTTTTTAAAATACTCTTAACATAATAATTTAAAAAAATAAATATCAATTTAATTTATTGTTTACAATATAATAACGTTGTTGTTTCTTTATCCAAATATAGATAATAAAATTCATATAAATAAATACAATCACATTTTACCTCTAATTAATTAATTATACAGATATAATTAAATAAATTCATATAACAAATAAAATTGTGTGGGTAGTTGTCGAAGAAATGAAGCACTGCGTTCTACACAAGAGTTCATATCCTAGAAAAATCATTGAAGCTGGCACTATTAATTTACTTTTTGCTCTTCGATTAAAATAATAATAATTATTATTATAGAATAAAGTTGTTAGCAAAAGATAATTTAAAATAATTTTTATCTAAAGCTGAAAGAAGATGACGGTGGAGAAGCAGTTAAGAAAAATTAGAAAGTGTTTTGAACGGAGGATAGTTTTGTCGATATAAATTTTAATAGTTTAATTTTATGAAATTCATTTAAAAATTCAATTGATTTTAATAGAATTTAAATAAGACATATCAAATTCTAAAAATTCAAATTTGTATTTTTTTTCATTCTAAATACAAAATTTTAGATTTTCAAATCAATTTCATAAAATTATATAGAATTCATTCATTCCAAATAGGCCGAATATACGAGAATATTTCGAAATTTAGATTTTTAATTTCACTTTATTTTAATATTTCTATTAATTTTACCCTAATTTCAATCTTTTAGTGCAATATTACTCTTAATTGCAATATGGAATTATAAATATAAAAATATTCCCTCCATTTTTTAATCATCACTTAATGGTAATAAAATTTTAAAAAATAAAAATTTGAAAAAAAAAACTCATTCCTTACAAAATTATTGTTGCACGGATTAAATTTTAGTTTTAAAAATAAATATGCTAATTAATAAATTAATAGCGTAAATTTCTACTAATTATAAAAAAAATTACAAAGCATAGCATAAAAATTAAATTAATAAAATATAAAATTTTAATTAATTATTGTATTTTCATATTATCTATATTTTAAGATGAAAATCTTTTCCTTGTAATTTTTTGGATGGTAGTACAAATAAATTGTTATTCAATTTAATAAAAAAATAAATAAATAACTATTATAAATAATTTAAATAATATTATTTACCTAGCTCAAAGGAAAAGATTACTGTTTGTCATGTATATCAACAAAGAGATCATCTTTGTGTTATTACATCTCGTGTAAGTTTCGTATTATATCCATTCTAACGCCATTATTACTAGTAGTTCAATGAACGAATATTTGCATTATTACATCTTGGGTGAATTTGGTCATTATTATTAAAAGTTCAATGAACAAATATTTAATTTATGACTTAAGAGATCATCGTACCGATCAAATATATATAATAAGACTTCATTATTTTGTAAAATTTTAAAATTTAATTTTTAATGGCAAAATACATAATTTAAGTCCTAAACTTTAACAAAAAAAAAAAAAAATCATTGTGGCATTTTGAATGTTAAAATCGAGCTTGGTACACTGAACTTCAATTTTTGTAATAATTTAACACTTTCTTACACTAAAAACAGTGCTCCATCCATTACAAAAAGATAATCTACTTTCTTTTTTTATACAGATCGAGAAATCAAAGTTATTATGGTTAGTGGATAATTTTATTGTTATAACTTTCTTGTTATATCTATTTTAAATAACACATGAGTAATTATTATATTAAAACAATAAAGACTTTATTGATAATATAAATTCAAAAATATAAATTGAAATTAACGAGAGTAACCAACATTCATAACTTTTTAAAAATCAAGAGGGAAAAAAAAGGTTAATATATGAATTTAAAGTAAGACTTACTTGGAAAAAATAAGGAATTAATGAGTGTAAGTCAAAATAAGATAAAACTTAATAAAGGTAAAATAGGCAATTTAAAAATTAACTATAATGTAAAAGATTTACTATTCTTTCGGTCTTTTAAAACTTTGTGTATGAAATATTTCCAAGTAATGAAATCTTTTTTTCTTTTTTGATTTTGTTCTTTCAGTCTTTAAGAAATTCCTTCTTGTTCGGAATACAGAAAAACACCAAGCTCTCTTGAATTGTTTTAACCCCTTGTTTTTTCTGTTCTTTTGAATTTATCATTGATTCTTATTTTAAGTGTTGAGCTGCTTGGGCTCGAAAATGCTACATTGAGCTCGGATTTGATTTGTTTTGTAGTGCTCAAATAGTCTAATAAGATGGCAACTTTAGGCTTAAGTTAATTGTTGGAATCGAACACCAATGACTGTTTAAGTTCGATTGTTTAGTGAGCTATTTGAGCTGACATGGACCGTTTAAATTCTAATTCAAAGGAGTTGCTTAAGTATGTTTATACAAGTTTTATATAGGGCAATCTCTCAAATAATTTTCACGTATCCAGGGCACACAGTAGGACAAGCGAAAAAAGACGTTTGAATGAGCGAAATATATATGCAACTCAAATTTATATTTTGTTGAATTATTAAAGATTTTAATTTTATTGGTTGAAAAATAAAGATAATTCAATTATTAAAGATTTTAATTTCCTATTTAAATATAAATTCTATTGAATAAAATAATAAATTATATTTTATCCTCTTTGTGAAATGTATAAAGATTTTAATCTTTAGATTGGTTGACAAAATAAAGAATAATTCAATTATTAAAGATTTTAATTTCCTATTTAAGATATAAATTCTATTGAATAAAATAATCAAATTATTTATAATAATATATTGGTTAAGAAATAAAATTTTAAGGATTTTAATTTTAATTGGTTGAAAAATAAAGCTAATTTAATATTAATTATTGGTTGAAAAATAAAGCTAATTTAATATTAAGGATATAAATTTTCTATTTAAATATAAATTCTATTGGATAAAAATATATATTATATAACATATATATGGTAAGAACATAAACTTTAAGAATTTTAATTTTATTGGTTGAAAAAGTAAAGATAACTTACTTTTGAATAAATAAATTCATTAGTTTGAAAAAAAAAAAAGAAATAAACATTATTGACTCTTGTTAATATAGTTTGTATTTGTTAATTGAAATTTGTATTCTCTTGACAATTAATACATGTAAAATGTTAGTTAATTTACTTTAGCATCGGATAAAATTCTGTTGTTAATTTGCATAAAAGTATAAATGGGGAAACATTGAATTTCTAAAATATCCCTACGAACTTTTGATTTTATTGATTAATTAAAAATATCATCAAGGATTATTTAGTCATATTCTAATTATGAAACTTTAATTTTATTGGTTGAAAAATAAAGATAATTTAATTTTGATTGGTTATATTAATTTCCTATTTGAATCTAAATTCTATTTTCGATCTAAATTCCTATTAGAAAGTTTAATCTAATTCTAAATAGGAAATTAACCATTTAAGACTTTAATTTTTATTTGTTGACTTAGGCGAAATTTAATTATCAATTCTTCAATATCTCCCAATTTATTCATTTTCACATATCATACCTAAACTCAATCTTCATTCTAATTAGAAATTTTCTTTTAATATCATTTTCTAGGATGACGGTTTTGTCATATCATAACATATCACTATTTTCCTACTATACCCCGTTTGTTGCTTTTGACTATCAAGAATTATCTCGACAAATAAAAACTTCTTTTATTACTGAAATTATTGAGCCCCTTCTCGTATCATACTCTCTAACTCTTATGGTAACGTACTTCTTACATATTTTTTAATTTTAGTAATTTGACATTTCTAACAACTACCTATTAAGGCTACATTTAATCGTAATTTTCCTTAATTAGAAATTGTTGATTCTTACTGATATTTTTATTGTTGAATTTAAAATTAATCATTACAAATAATCCTTACCCCCCTATTCACCTACATTAGAAAAATTTTAATTTTACTTGATTGACAATTTAAACATCCTATATAATAATTGATTGATTAAAATTATATAATAATTTTTAATTAGATTAGTTATATTAGTTTTCTTAATCAGATTATTATAATTAATTAACAAATCTTATTTGTTTCGTTGGGTTCTACAAACAAGTTTCTGTTTCTAAAGTTATAATCTGAATTGATTTTTATTAATTAACATGATTTCATTTTTCTTCCGTTGCCAAGAGTTGGGAAAGGGTTCTACAAATATTTTAGCAATGAAATTTTTATCCATTGTTAAAGTTATAACCATAAATTGATAACCTGTTTTGCATCTTTTTCTCTTTTCTTCCTCCTTTTATTTTATATTTTATTAGGATTATAAGATTAATAATTGTCATGATAATATTTTTATTTTTTATTTTTTAGTTTCAAGTATTTGGATGGAAGTAAGGTAACCATAAGAATTCTAATATTCAAATTATAATATAATAGTAAATCATAATTTTTTTTATATATATGAATTCTAAATTTTATTTGTATTTTATTGGTTCTTTATATCATATGGAATTCTAAAACTTTTATTTGTATTTTAAACTTTTGGTTGACTAACATATTATTATTATATATTGTGGCTCAATTGGCAGACTGCAGGTTGGGCAAGTAAGCACTGTATGTCTTTTCTGGGTTCCGGTCCTCTCGTACACCTCCCACTAAACTGCACCCTGTAAAGACCGGGTCGAGGAAACCCCTGGTAACGTAAACTTGCACTAAGCCTCCCCCTCCCGGCCAGCGGATTCAGGCCCGCGCTCGGTTCTCTAATAAAGGGTATTTGCGATATCGGCTGGTTTACAAAAAAAAAAAAAAAAAAAAACAAAACAATATGATCTGCTCTCAATCGGATAGCATTTATCTCTATCCCTAATTTAGAAAACCATTTTAATTCTTATTGGCTGGGGATCACTTAAATATATTATCAGATTTTTAATTAGATGTTAACTACTAATTCAATTAAACCTATATAAAACCTAGAAAATCATAAAAATAGAAACCGGAAGTTTTTTTTTATAACCTCCCGCCACACCTCGAAATAAACTCCAACCCTTATAAATAATAGTTGAAAGCCGATTGTGGCTCTTAAGAAATACATATTAGTATAATGTTAAAATTCTTCTTTAACTTCATACTCTGATAGGACATTACCTACTAAACTTCTATTTTCATCATTCCAATTTAACCCCATTGCCTAAAACATCTTTTAATATTAAATACAAAACTAGACTTAATCAAAATTACTAAATGATAACCATAATAATGATAAATCTGATATCTATGCATCTATCCCCCTCTTAGCTTATCATTAGCTAATTCTTTAATCATATCACCCCCACCATCTCTACAAAAAATAGATAAAACTAATATATATCTTATTATAATATTATACATACTATTATAACATATACTTGTCTCATTTTTGTCCTACATACATAATTAATAATATTTTACACGTAACAATATTGGAATAACGACACTACACTTAATATAATATACGCTTTATTTTGTTATTTAATATCTTATTCATCATTTTTTATTATGTACACAAATTTACCTACCTCCTATTTTTCTATAGAAACTCCTTCCTGAAAACATCAACCCTAAACTATTATTTACACCAAATAACAAACGTACAGAATACCAGTGATTAACTGAACTTTCTCAGCGTGTCTATGGTATTTACAGTAAAATATTGAATAAAGAAATACTTAATTAATATACTTATTTTTTATTTAATAATTTATTATCATTTTTATTATGTAAAAAAATTTACTATCATTTTTATAAAATTATAGAAAAATCAATAAACTATATTTAAAAAAATAAAAATACAGAATAAGTATAATGAATTTTCACGTGCAAAGCACGTACTTAATGTTGTATATATCAACTGTGTAATTTGAAGTTTTTAAAAAATTTAACCAGGACGAGATGAGAAAACTAAAAATTAAAATTCCTTCTGACACTCTTCAAAGGTTAAAAATATAATAACTTCAAAAAAAACCCTTCTTTTAAAATAATCCTCCTCTCATGTAATTTAAAAACTCAACTTTCCGTTGGCTTACCTCACTTTATTTACCTTCAAAGAACCTCGATCCAATCCTCCAAACAATAGGTAATAATAGTTTAATAATATCAACTTTATGGAGTAACCTGCAACTCCCGGTTACCCATTACGCCAGGCTAACCTAAGCCACCTTATCATCTTCCTTCTTCTTGTCTTTTTGTACAGAGAGACAGAAAGAGAATCTAACTTTGTGTTTGTATTATTCTGCGTGTATGTACATAGTTTTTGTGCCAGAGCAAGAGAGAATCGTTGATCTATTATTCGACACGCAAAACTGAGATTTGAATATAATACCCTTTGGTTTCCAAGCAGTTTTTTGCTGTGTAGAAACGAGAGATGGTGGGTATTTTCTCAAGATTTTCTGTTGGCAGAGTTGGCCATAGGAGAGCCCAAAGTGCACTTGTAAGAATCCTGTCTCTTCATCTTTTTCTCTTTCTATTGTTAAAAAATTTGAACTACCATGTTTAGCCTCTGTAAGCTTATGTTCAATAATCCTGTGGGAGCAATTTCTTGCATGGGTTGACTTTTTTCAAGCTGGAATTGGTTTGGTTGTTGATTTTTGATGTAGTTTCAATACAATTCCAGTTGGTTATTATCAAATTTATTTGATTTTTACTGTTTATCTTTTTCAAAAATTCTGTCTATTAGATTTGGATGATTTCTGATGTTCCTTTGTTAGGATTGCTTGATTTTGGACTATTTTCTCATATATATCTTGATTATTGGACTATTTTCTTTCCTCATAATATATATATATATTATATTATATATATATTATATATATATATATATATATTATTTAAGTATTTATGGTTTAGGGGTTATTTAATGGTAATGAATTTGTTTAGTGGTACTGGTACTCATTGTCTCCCATACAAATCAGGTTAACTTAATATATAAGTATTTATGGTTTAGGGGTTATTTAATGGTATGATTTGTTAGTGGTACTGGTATCATTGTCTCCATACAAATCAGGTTAACTAATTCTTTCAATTTCTACGTTCACAGCCATTTTCAATTTCTATTTCTATCTTACATCTCTAGTTAAGCCTTCATAGGACACAAATGGTTTATTTTTACCAGTGGTCGCTTAATATGTGACTTTGTATGGTGCAGGATGAGAGGGAAGTATTGCCCCCAATTACCGAAGTGAACAGGGCGTCTACCGCTGCTGCTCCACATGGAATTGAAGTAGCGGTAGAGTTTAAGCCAGTTGAGCACCCAATTGAGCCTCCCAACAGTGATCAACCAATTCAATGCCCATTGCCAGAACATTCGATTCTTAATGTAAGCTTTTTTGCCCCCTCTATTGTTCATGAAGTTTGTGTTATGTTGGTGTTTTCATCTGTTTTTATGATATCTTTCTGTTGATTTGGAGAGAATTTCATGCAATTGATGCAACTCAAGGTAACATGTTTCGTTCACTTGGAAATGGAATGGGAATGGATGCCACAACTCCAAGTTTATTTTTTCATTTTTAAATGGCTAAACAGATTTTCTTGTTCCTATTAAAAATTATACCTATAAACAGTAAACAGATATCATCTCAACATAAATTCAAATTATTCAAATATATATATATAGAAAAAATCGAATTCCTTTGAACCAAACAAAAAATTGAATTCTATTCAAAGAATTGCATTTTTTTCCCAATTCTGGAGTGATCCAAATGTGAATTTATTGTAATTTCTCATGGAATTTTGCTGGTACATATAAATTTGAAGTGTGACCTATTTGTCACTTGTCTTCAACTTCAGATGTAAATTTTTACGTCATAATTCATGTGTGATAACCCTTCCATCAAATAACATAATTTTTTCATATCCTTTCTCAATATGGTGTTCGTGGATGCTGTTCACACAATGGTAAAACCTTGCCTGCAACATTCTATCTCGTGTTATTTTGGTTTGCAGCTTGTTCACAAATCCTGGCTTTTCATGTGAGTTCGTAATCTTCCTAGCTATAGGATTTCACGAGCAGCATGCTTGTGTCTTGTGGAATAGGGAGGAAGTTTCGTACATTTGAGGGGATAAAATGGATAGACTATTCATACATACACTTGTAGTTTACTGCCTTCATATGGCAACTACTGCAAGGTATGAATAAAACATTAATGAGATGGAAATAGTTAAAGACCACTAATAAAATGGTGCACCAATACTAGATATGGAATGAAACATAAATAAAGCAAACAGTTAAAGTCAGCCCACTACACCACACGCACCATGCATGATCAATGAGAGTTGGTGCTCTAACAGATAACAAGATTAACCATAGCTTATGGACAAAGTGCAATCAGTTGAGAATGCTTTGGAGTTTGAAAGCAGAATTGGTACTGTTATGGTCCTCTGTCACTGGCTGAGAACTATACAGAATTAGCCATTGTCAAGAGATAGAGCCTTCTAGTTCCTTTTCAACAACTCCAAGGGTAGAGGTTCAGGTATGAGTACAGAAATTTGACATTGAGGAAGAGGAAAATCTACAATCAGTGTGTTTAAAGAGAAAAATAGTGAACAGACTTCTTTTTTGTTATTAAGATTCTGGATTTTTTCTTATTTAGAAGGTGTTTTGCTTCCTAGTAGTGGTTTAGAATTTATCTTGGGTTAGCGTAGGACAAGCAGTGGGGAATAGGCATTTGATTTGTTTAGATGGCCTGCATACCTAATTTTCTCTTTCATCTTTTTCTCTATTCTAGTCTATTCCTTCCCCCGCATCTAAATAATACATTTCTTTTCTATCCAGCATGCACAATTTTCTGACATGATTTCCTATGTTTCAATTTTTCTTCTCATCTGGCAGTGCCTACTCTGTCCTAATCACAAAATTTTGGCATTTTTAATATAATGTTATTTTCACTTAGAAGATGATGCTCAACTTTAGGAAAAATGGTTTTGTAACTCCTAAACCATAAAGACAAAGATAAAACACCATTTTATAACTTAAACCTTCCATTTTAATTGTTTCTACCAGGCCTTCGTAGTAGTTATAGGACCACTGAATCTGTAAATTTTGGCTCAAGCTGTGAAAGATTTGTGGGGGTTTCAGGGTTGATGTTATAGTTTTGGGTTTGGAAAGGCAATAGAAGGTCCTAGGTAGGGCTGTAAATGAGCCAGACACTCATGAGTTGCTCAAGGCTTGGCTTGGAAAAACCTCGTTTGATTAGCTTAAGTAGCCAAGTTTGAGCTTGCTTATTGAGTTGAACTTGCTTACCAAGCTTGAGCTTGCTTACTGAGTTTGAACTTGCTTACCAAGCTTGGTCTTGCTTTCCTAGTTCATTTAACAAATTAGCCAAGCTTGAGCTTGAACTCAAGTTTGAGCCTGTAAACAGGGGCGGAAGGAGGGGGGAACTGGGAGAGCCCAAACTCAAACAAATTTTAAAACTTTTATCTATAAACAGTGCAAAGAAATTTTTTTTCTTTGATTTGAACCCCTCTTAATTTTGAAAATTTTCTTTTGGCTCCCACTTTTGGAGTCTGGCTCCGCTCTTGCCTGTAAAAGGGTAATTTTGTTTATTTATTTATTATTATTATTTTAAAACTGTAATTCTGCTCGTCTTCAGCCCTAGACCGCGGCTGCTGGCCCTCCAAGCCTCCTTTCATGTTTTTTCGTATATAAGAATTTATATATAGAAGAGAGAGTATATATTAATGTACAAATATATATAGGGAGTAAAAAATTCAACTAATTTCCCCAAAATAATGAAAAAGTTAATCAAAGTATTAAATAAAAATTATACAAAATGCAAAATATATTCAAACAATTGTATTCTATCCCATTTTTTAAACAATATAATAGAGATTCAAATGAAAATATAACTTTTTTGTACGCATCATAGTGTTATTAGTTTTTTGAAAAAGTTTAAACCTTAAATAGCTTTTATTGTTTTTATTTAATTTAAGAAAATAATAGATGCATTTTGTTACAACAAAAAAAGTGACATAATGGTAAACTATTAAGAGAAATGTTTCTCATTTTATTTTAACTATAAGGGGAAAGTATCTATTATAGTTTTTATATGAGAAGTTAATCTTTTGAAATTGGCTTTCCCAACAAAATGTCTAGATTTGTCTGTAGTTAAATCTGGGTGTTAAGAGAAAAAAAAAAGGGACTGATTCGATATAATTGATTCCTGTATAAGTACAGCCATTGCCTCCACTTTCGCCTTGGCTCTATCCTATCATCTTTATCAGCACAAAAGTGCTATCATGCCTGTAGCAAGAAAATTCCATTTACTTGGCAGCAAACTGTCACCATTATGCCTCCATTTGGAAGAATATGCAATGAGTGGTGGCCCAAGCCAAAAGTGTGTAGAAGTTAGAACAGCAGATTTTCCATGAAATGAAAAATGTTTGGCAGTTGCGAAATTATGGTGCATTACTCATTGCTCAAGGGCTTCGTATTCTGAATGAAGGTAAAGAACACAAAAGAAAAGTTCATGGCACAGCACAGGATATCATGTAACATACTGTTAATTCCTTGAATAAATTATTGGAACTTTTACGAGCTATTAAACTTTTTCATTAGACTCTTCCTTCATCTTTTGTCATTGACCTCCCATTACTTTTAATATGTTAATTTTATTTGTTTCTCCATTATGGCTTATCTAGGAAGATCAAGATGCAACCCAAAAGTTTTAATTGGAGTCCATTATCAATAAGGAAGAAATGCAACCTATAGTCAAACTAGTTATTAAAATATGCAGACATTTAAGTAAAACATTTCTGTTATCAAGTCAACTGCATTTAAAGGTTCATATCACCTTGATGCAGTACAATATCAAAAATTCTGAGATTATAAGGGTTTCTTGCTAGGAAGGTTTGGTGAGTAGGACTCAAATGAAAACTTTGAACCTTGACATTCTTTCAATTTGGGACAATTCTAGTTTACTGAATTTACAAAACAACAAACCTTGTCAGCTTTTGATTGAACTAATAGAAATCATAGAAAAAAAGTATATGCCCAGCACAATTGTTTTAACATTCATCTAGCTAGCATCTTGTCTATGTTCACCATAAAGCTGCATCATGCTGGAGTTTATTCATTCTAAATAAGATGCTCCTGGTTCACTAAATCTAGAAAACGGCACACCACAAGAAATACTTGATAATTAAACTTAAAGTAGAATCTAAAACAACTTTATAATGTTGTTCACTATTTCTTTGACACACTACGGGAAACCTCTATTCTATCTGCACAATATTCTTTCATATCTTGGATTCCTGGGACAGATATTTTTCTACACTTTCAGTTAAAAGAAATTTGAAGGGGCATTTTGTGGGGATCTAATTGGTTGACAAAAATAGTCACAAGGGCGTGGTACAAAAGGGAATGCTGCAATTGGGAGTTATATTTCCAAGGAGAATACTAGATAGTAGAGATGAATTTGTGTTCTGGGCTTTATATCTTCACGGGTGAATTTTTTTTTTTTTTTTTTTTTTAGGGCGTGGTACAAAAAGGAATGCTTCAATTGGGAGTTATTTTCAAGGAGAATACTAAATGTAAGAGATGAATTTGTGTTCTGGGCTTTATATCTTCACTGTGGGTGAATTTTTTTTTTTTTTTTTTTTTAGATTATGTAAAAGGACAAATTGTTTGTGACAATGCCTAAGTATTCCCTTTTTGGTGAGCATTGCTTATGTTTTTTCTAAGGGATTTTGATATCATCTTTTTTTTTTTTTTTTTTTTTTGATTATGTAAAAGACAAATTGTTTGTTGCAAATGCCTAATTCTTTTTGGTGAGCATTGCTATGTTTTAAGAGATTTTGATATCATGTTCCTCAAACATTAGGATGGAAGAATATGGAAAGAGAGGGTATCTGCAACCGTGCGGAGGAGATCTGACTTGCCTGTCATGAAAGAAGGTGGGTCTCTTGAATCTGAATCTGCTGGGACAAGGCCACGACAATCCAATAGAGTGATTCTACCATCCATCAGTGCTCCTGAACATAATTTACTAAAACTACTTGAAGAATGTAACGCATCGGGGCTCTAAAACGCTGTTTCAGGTTCTGATATGAGTGCTGCGTTACATAATTCCCTTACATAATTTCCTGTCCCTTTCACTACCGGATTATCGACTTTTTTCAGACATATTTACTTGAATACATGTATTACTCTGTCTTTTTTTTTTCACCCATAATGTATATTTAACAGTTCACTTGGAAATGAAGTATATGCTTTGGCATCCTGAGTTCTATCAGTAATTGATTGACTGTTTATAGCAGCATATATAACACTTGACATTTGCACTATGTGGCAAATGTGATTATTGGTATATGATCACCTTTTTCTAGTCTGAATGTGATTAGCTCCTGGATGACCCACTTTAGATTTGTATAGGAATTGAAAATGATAAGAATTGATAGATAGCGACCCTTCTAAGATAGTCTTCATCTTTTCTTTTTAGAAGTATGCTATCAGAATTCTTTTTTTGTCCATGTTGAAGTGTTGATGGTGGGATCCATGCCTCGTACTTATGGTGACTGTTGCAAAATGTTCTAGTTATTCTTGTCTACTGGATGATAGCAATATACCGAGCAGTCTTCATATTTAGCAAACGTTAGAGCTGCAGTTTCCATGTTATGGTGGTTGCCACTAACGTTAGCAATATATGATGACTAGTGTTCTCTGTTGGTGTACGCTAAAGAAATTCTTTTGCAAGCCTATCATGTTCTCTGTTGGCGTAGGCTATAGAACACAAAATTATCTTGGCCTAGTAATCTTCAATTTTGCACTGAACTTTGTGCTTTTTTGCAATATTACAATATTTTTTGTGGCCATTAAGCTATGTTTTGCAAATTTAAAAGGTATGTTTGGTCTAACTATTGATGATAATTGTTCACAGCTTGTGGTTGATAGCTATTAGGTATTAAATAGTGGTTATATATACACACATAACAAACATTACTTTCTATTTTTCATGCATTACATAAACAAAAAAATTAAATTTTTTGTATTAATTTTCAATAATTATTTATTATTTTTAAATAATTATAAATAAAATAGTCTATAAAATATTAATTTGAAGTAAATAATGCTTTGAGCCCAACCCACTCAGGCCCATAGGGCATCACATCCACCCCCGCAGGAGCCGATGTGGGATTTTTGCTGCCGAATCTACTCACCGCTGCACGAATTTGTTTCTAGGTTCAAATCAACTCACAGCTCAAAACACATCTTACTAGTATAAAGTTTATACTTCTTTATGTACATTACTATCACCTTGTGCTTAGCTGACGTGGAATTCGCTTAGGGTGTAATAAAGACTCAATTGGCTTTCTAAATTTGTAAGCAACGCACAATTATCTAAAAATTAACTTTTTATACAATTTACGCTCTAAACTTGCATCAAAAGAATAAACAGTAATTATACCTCGTAAATATTTGGGATTGAGTCACTTAAGTCTCTTTACATTTGAGAAATCCCTGGTTCTGGAAGGCACATGAGTCTGAACGCTATGTTGAATGTGCGACCGAGTGCAGATGAAGGTTGCTCTTATGATAACTTCTGGGTACTGGGTTTCTTCGAGCTTTTCGAAATGTTTATGAAGCTCTAATGTCACTAGTAGATGACAAGGCAAATGTAATACAGTGAAGTAAGCTAAGGATTTTTATTTGATTACGTAAATTCTTTATATTCACTAAATATCTTATTCCAATTTGCAATAGACATATGGTCTTGTGTGATTCAAGAAAATACTGACTTGGACATCATTCATTTATTTTATTTAAGCTTAAATTTTCAATTAAATTTTAAATATTTTGAATAGGAGTTAAAAAAAAAAAACTCCCTTTGTTTTACAAGTGATGCATGGAATGAGATCATAGCGTGTGTTTTTTTTTCCTCACTCTTACAATACGACCGGATTGTTTCTTTAGGATTTTACGTTATTTTGTAACATATATGATTTTTACGTATTTTGTAACATATAATATATTATATTATATATATATAGATATATATATATATATATATATATATTATATATTTATATATATTATATATATAATATATATTATATATATTATATATATAGTATATATATATGTGTGTGTGTGTGTGAAATATATATAGGCTAATATATTTCATCGAAATTATCATGATTTCCATAAATTGCGTGGTATATCTTTGTCTCATTTAACGAAATGATATACCGAAATGATATATGAATATAATGAATATAATCGATTATTTAAATTTTAATAATAATTTATAATATTTAGTTAATTATTAAAAAAAAATGGGTGAAGGGCTATAAATAGCTATGATTGGACTGTACACTACACTTCCGAATTAAAAGAACATAAAAATGTTGCCAGAAATACAAAAAACTATTACATAAACATGAAGAAATAGGAGGAAAAAGAAGCATAAGTCGACTGAATTATCTTAGAATAAAAAGACAACAGTTAAATACAAAAAGAGAAGAAAAAGCTAAAGAGGCAACTGAGGAATTAGAAACGGATGCTTTACTGATGGGTTGAGGAGATGCTTTCGAGGCCCTCGAAGGCTCCCATGGTTCATTCTTTGCCACTTCCCATTAGATTTTGCAGTAACTAATGGACTTGAATCAAATTCTGTTGCAGAAGTGAAAACCAGAAGGCAAAGAATTAGAGTTCTGAATATGAAATTTACTTGCACCATTTTGTGTTTTTCTTTCTTTGAAGGATTATACCTTTTCTGTTTAGGAGAGGAGAGTAGAGATGCAATGGGATAATAAAGAGCTTCAAAAGTGAATGAATACCTTTGCTTTGCTTGGAAGTCACAAATGATTATTGTGGCCTTGGTTGGTTTTTGTCTGTTGTTATTATTGTGTTAGGGACTATTTTCTATTTCTTGTAAATTAAATGAATAAGTTTCTACAAAGGTGCTCCAAGAAATGATTTCTAAGCACTAGTTAATTAAGAGGACATTTGTAATATTTTATTCATTAAGAGAATGATGAAATAAGTTTATTCATTTGAACTGAAACATAAACTGGTTGTCTGAATGAGAAATTTTTCCTATTAGAGTTATGTAATAACCTATATAACTTTCTAGATAAAAAGAAATTGTTCCCTACAATATAAAATGACAGCTTAATAACTGTTAATTTAGATTCATCATTCAAATTCAGCATAAACAAACGAATCTCTAAATAAGTTGAGAAGCTATAAACCATGGAAAAAGACTTCTTAAGGTGACAGTATGCACCAAGTTAAAAAAAAAAAAAAAATAATAATAATGATCGACACAAATAAGAGTATGAGTATCTTTTTAATAGTAACTAATCTTTTTATGATGTGCGTTATACTCGTTATATATTTATTTTTATACTCTTTTAATTCTTTTTTATCTATATAATATTAAAGCATAAGTTTTTATTTAGATTAAAATAAATACAAGTGGTTAATTTATATTACACTTTGTCGTATAAGCTAATTGTAATACAACTTCTTATGTACTTAATTCTATTTTTGTATACACTTTGTCGTATAAGCTAATTGTAATACAACTTCTTATGTACTTAATTCTATTTTTGTATAATGAAATGATTTTAAACTGAATTGATAATGGTAATCATTTTGGCTATAGTAGTAGTATTACTTGGCCAATATATTAGAAAAAGAAATATATACACGTATACACAAATTCTTAAAACCTAAAAAGTGACCCAAAATAGAAATATATAGTTCTAATTTTTTTCTAATTTTTTAAATATTATTTTCTTTCAAATCAAATAGATTTAGGATATAAGAGAAAAAAAGTCACAAAAAAAAAAAAGTTTAATCATCAAGATGCTATTTATTTATTGCAAGAGAAATATAAATCTCTTACTAAATTAAAATGATAATAGTTACAAATAACGAAAAAGAAAATAAAAAAATAAAAAATAAAAAATAAAAAATTATTATTATTGTTTATATGTCACGACCCGATTCCATGGGCCGGACCGGGCTTAGGGCCCAGGTAAGCTTAAGGCCCCCGAGGCTCGTAGTAAGCCTGAAAAACACTAAAAATTTACTATTCTCATATTAATTTTAAACATTCAGCCCATATTAATATAGAAATAAACCTCAATGATTTTTATTAAATCAAATAAACCTCAAGATTTTATTATATCTCGGCCCAAATTTATCATCTACAACATTCCATAGTTCGGGCCCAATTTACAATACATCACATTCCTAATATGGGCTCATAGAATTATTTCGTCTATGTTAATACACGACTAAAGGTATACAAATCCTACAACTACGGAGTTCACTAATAGATATATACAGATAAGTTTTCGTACATTTATCTATTTAATGAATTAATACTAAAATTTCTTTTCTAACAGTGAAAGAAGCAGAGCTTTAGCTGGGATTTAGGAAAAGCTACTTCCTGAAAGATTAAACAAAAGAGATGTGAGTTTTTTATTGAATAATAATTATTGCACAACACATGCATTCACATGAATGTGAAGATAATTAAATCTACTCATCTGACTAGTTATATGATCACGCGGACAGTCACACAAATGGCACAACAAGAGCACTCGCAATTATTAACATCTTCACATAATCACATCACGTGGAAATTAGTCAGTGGCGTCACCTAAACCCCCGACGAACCGTACTCTCACATGGCCCATCCTCTCAAACGTGTGCACCCGGGGAGCCAATCCTCCATACCTGGCCGACCAGTCTAATCCTCAAATGACCAGTCCTCTCATTGTTTTTACATTCTCTCTTTTCTTTTCCATACCAACAGGAGGCAACCCGGTGGTCTCTGTCAAATCTAGATCATCAGGCGCACACAACAGGAGGCCACCCTGTGGGCTTCCACGATATCCAGATTATCAGGTGCACACGATAGGAGGCCACCCTGTGGTTTCTATATATTCCATAGTATCAGGTGCATACGGGGCCGCTGATCTCCCATTTTCTCAGCCGACGGTCCAATTTCATAATTTCATCATAATCAGGTACCATGCTTTATCGACCGTCCTCACAAATCCATGGTGACCCACTTCATCCCAATTCCACACATACAAGACATAACATTATCACAACACAATTAATCAAATATTGCAATTAAATGCAAGCATATTAATCAATTAAACATCGTAATGCAATGCACAAATAAATAATTAGAGCACTCTATTTATTATGTATTAAGTTATAGAATTAATCTAAATAAACTTATTAATTAATTATGTTATTAATTAAAACTAGTCTA